ACATATGAGTACCAGCAGTTTGCAGAATGCGCTGGTTATGCCTGATAGGACTATAAGTTGTCCATATCGTGGTTACTTCTTTCTTGAAATATATACGGTATGCAAACCTTTGTCCAGACATCTGATAGGGTAAGAAAAATTAAGACACGAATGAAATAAGTCAGTATCGAATTGTGGTAAATTGGATTGCTTTTTTTAATTTGTGTTAATTTTTTGTATTAACAAATATATAATTATTTTGCACAATAATTAAACCAAGTACATGTTCCTGGAGAAGTTTTGACCAAGATAGTAGTATTTATGCACTCATATATTTTATATTGTTGAATATGAAGGTGTATAGTAAGTATATTGTAGGAGGATGATATATTAATTAGTTAGAGGCGGGTGTTTTTCTGAGACAGGAATCCCCAGCTGCGGTGGTAGCAAAACCTGCAAAACGTGGGAAGTCGGTAGAAGAAGTGTGTTTGAACTACGGAATTTTATTTATCTCAGGGCGTGCAGGATCGTTTCGCGATTTGAAAAAAGAAAATCCCGAACGTACTATACAATCAATTAATTGCTCAGGTTTATTACTGATAAATTAAAATGCTACCAGAAGGCTGGAATTCAACAGGCGGCAACTGCCCCCCCCCCCCCTACTGTTGGAACAAGTTAAAATATTTCTAGAACAATTTGTTCATTTTGCTAGATCTTTATGCAACAGTATAAGTGTACGGATTTTTTTCCTCTGTAGTTTATAGATAGAGAATTAAAATCCTACAGCATTTGGTTGAAGGTTTTAACTTGGTGAGTGGTGGGAATTCGTCACTCTGGTGTGTCACGGTGCACTTCTTTTCCGAATCTGGGAATTCGAGAAGACGTATTGAGGTATACGATTTGACGCATCTTGATCTCCTGTAGTCTGGATAAGTTTGTTTTGGATGGTGGCTAGAATAGATGCGTAAGGAAATTTCCAAAAACTGACTAAGGGTTTATATTTGCAGTTTAAGGCACTTTACCATCTTT